CTGTCTGCCATGCACACACATAAATGCCGGCTCGCTGCCTCTGCCAGCGTCGACGTTGGCCAACGAAGTTTTTGCTCTGTGTGTGTGGTTGTCCCCATCGTCGTCGTCGCCGCTCTTGTTTGGCTAAAGTGAGTGGACTCAATGATGATGATGACGATGACTACTACACCACGTTCGTTTGAATCATTCGTTGTTGTTGTCGTCGTCGTGTGTCATTCTTATTTCTCAGCATGTGCGGCAGAGTATTGATGTTGTTGCTGGCTGGCTGGCTGACTAGCTTGCAAATTGACTGACTGACTGGCAATGTCTGGCCGATGTTGCTGTTGCCACTGCAGCTGCTGCCGATTGCGTTCGTTCTATAAGAGAAGATGGATGGAAAGATGGATACCAGACACAGTCATCGAACCGAACAATAAAAAACGCGAGCATATACATTATAATACACTACACTTCCCGCATACGGTGTCAGTCAGTAGTGTTCCACACCACACTCACCACACAGCGTCGCATGACACCGCTTAGCATAGTCATCGGCGTTCGTTCAGGTTCTCGCCCAGTTAGTTGGATCGCGCGATGTGGCAAATATGATTGTATTTTATTGTAATTCATTTCTTTGTAAATCGCGTGCATACTTGGCTACATAACTGCATACATACAACCAAGCCAGCAAGCGGGCGCACCAACATGTGTACATAGAGTATGTACCACCACCATATGTACTAAAGTGCAAGGTATTCCCATTCTGAAGGTTAGGCCACATGTTTTTCCATTTTTTTTTTGGTTCGTTTGTTCGTTCATTTCTTGTGCATGTGGCAAGACACTCGCCGTGCTTTGGTTTGGGAAGAAACTCAGCTGTTCGCTTTAACGCCATCATCAGTGCAAAAAAAAAAAAACAAAAGAAATGAAAATTCTTCGAATAATTGGCTCTGATCATTTAACTAAAATGTGAGAGGTATTTCTTGTGATCTACATAGTTTGAACCAATCGACCGACAAATATATCTGCAGATATTCTGTGAAAAAATTCTCTGCTAGATTTATAATTAACATTTTCAGCAATAACTTGAGTAATCATCTTTCTAGGCGGATAATAAATAATCGTTGTCGAATAGGAAAAAATGGGAGAAACTGATCATAGATGTACATATCGGTCATTTTGCTGCAAGACCGGCATAATCAATAATTGTGATTTAGTTTTTTTAGGTCGCTATATAACACATAATGTTGTGTAGCTGTAGAGGTTCCTCTGTTCTTTGTAAGGTATGAGTAAATTGAAAACTCAAAACTCTTGTTCTGCAAAATCGATGTTTATACCCTACGCAAATATGTTGTCAGGGTATTATTGCTCAAACGCCGACCTTAAACGTCAACTTCATAGCGTATACGTCACCTTAATCATGTCACAAATCCAGTGGATTATATTTGACGTATACGCAATGGAATTGACATTTCAGATCGAGTGGATTTCGTAAATCTAAACGTAGTCTTATGCCGCTAAATATTGGTTCTAGACCCACCATCCAGTAAACCGATCGTTATATCTCGACTATGTGTGTCCGTGTCCGGTCGTCCATCTGTCCATTTTATGTTGTAAAAACGATACAGGCCACAGTTATGGACCAATCGTCACGAAGTTTTGCATGTAGGATGGATTCTGGCCAAAGAAGACCCCTATTACTTTTGGTAATGTTCGATTAATATGAAATGGACCAAAAACTTAATTTTTCTGGCTCTCTGGTAAATCTAGAGACCACAATCATTCACTTTATATATGGTCTGTTTTTTCAAAGAGGTTTCAGATTTAATGTTGATTAAATCGGTTATTCAATTTGCTTCAATTTCATATAATTTACAAGTTTATAAATTACCAATAGGAGCTTACATTCCTTGCAAAAAACATACAATTAAATTAAATATCTTATGGTTACTTTATGTTCACATTTACATTACTATCTTCTTTCGAACTCATCGAACAATGGCAGCAACCAAAGCAGCGAATTATTAACAAACTTAACAGGAAGGTGAGGGATTTCTGGTTTGTCTGCACTCACACTTCAAAGTGAATACGTGACATTCATATGTCACTATGTAGTCAACTTATAGATTCGACAAATACATGTTTGTACATAGAAGATGATTAAAATCAAAGTGCAACATCGGCCAAAAATATAATTAATTGCTGTGAAATTATTTTTTCTTTATTAATTAATAAAATTTAGCAGGCATAATTTTTAATTTTGATATTCCAGATTTTGCAATTGCATTTTTTTCAGATATTTTTAAAAGGTTTTTTCTCAGAAACTGCAAAAATCTCCAATAAATCGAAAATGTTTTCGATTTTCCCTTTATAAATTTAAAATGCTTTGATAAGGGACCAGACTAATCACTCATTGTAGTTTAAATGTAACCACCCATTTTAGTTTAAATGTAAATTTCATTTGTAATTTCTTGTTATAGTAATGAAGACTTCTTACGCTTTCATATGACACCACTCTCGTAGAGATGATACGCTAGAGAAATTATACGCTTCGAAAATTGGAAAAACGGATATGTCTGATTTGAATCATGTCATCCAATAGGTGGCGCTGATGACGGGGTTTATAAAAATTACACACGCCATTATGTTTTGCACAACCTTTTTCGTAGTGCAGTCATATGTGAAGGGGGGCCAAATCATCGCATTCGAAATCCAGAAATTCGGCATCGTAATATCGTCTACGCGGATCACCGCTGTCGTTATCGAATTGTTTGTACTCGAAGTTGTACACTATAGGTAGGATGCTATCGAAAACATCATACTTAAGGATTTTTGCTCGGAAAAAGGTAAACAAACAGGAACAAGAAGTTGGTGAAAATATAAGAATTTTTTTCAGAATTATACATTCAAGAAAATATATTACTTGCCTTTAGGGACACGGATAAAAAAAGGAATGCTCAGCCGCTTCAATTTATGCTGGAGCTTCTAGACTTAGCCAACAATAAGTTGAAAAACTGTGCTCAAACAAAATTAAAGAGCCAATTGTGGCGCGAACAACAAAACTAAATTCCTTATTAATGCCACATTGTACTCATCCTCTGAATCATATAATTCATATAATATTTACACATATATATTTTAACACACAAAAACGTTATAAATTTCTAAGAAATTATATATTTTGATCACAAAAATATCGATATTTTTGAATCCAGCTTTGTGTAAATGGTTAGAAACAGTTTTGTGGTCCTGGGCGATGTTACGACTGATTTTATGATCATTTTCATACCGGATTTATTTTTCCCCAACCTAATATTAGATAACAAAGGATTAAAAATCTTTACGATTAAAGTTGTTCTGCTCCTTGGATAAAGTGAATATTTGAAAACCATCTTATATATCCCAATTGTTTATCTAACTCCTTTTTACAGTTCTGGTCCCTATGGAATAGGAAACCCGTTTACAAGAAAGTATCGTTTGGTAATGGCAACTCTCTCTCATCAATTGGACATCCCACAGCTGTTTGATTACAATTTGTCATTTCCTTTCTTTTATTTGCAAGTTTTGATTTTGCAAAAGTCATGGCGAATAAAATATCCGTATTTATAGAATATCGCAGATTAATATTACATTATTTTTTGTGTCAATTGCTAACACATAAATTCAACATAAATAAAAGCCTAAATATTTATATTAATTGTTATAATTCTTTTATAATTTTATTTGATGCAAAACACACAAGAAAATGAATTTACAAAATGTCTTTTTTGTTGCTATTCCTGTAAAATCTACAAAGGGTATCGGCTTCCTTTATACTTTATACTATATACGTTATGTGTAAGTTTGTTGTATTTTTATTTTACTATATAGACATAAGTATATACGAACTATGATATATGTATGTAATGTATCGAGATATATAGATGATGACGCTATGTAATAATATTTCTATTATATACTACAAGTTGTGTCGTGCTGCAACATTTGATAGTTTTTGGGCGGACTGACTGCAGCACAAAGAAAATTTGTAAAACCGGCAAAAGTTGAAAGAGACACGAACATGAATACAAGGGGGCAATGAGAGGGAGAGAGAGCTGGAGAAATTGAGAATTGACTAAAAACCAATGTTTCATATCGTGCAGCAGTCAACGCTGTAGGAGATACCCATGTGCAGCGGCCAAGTGATGTACTTATATGCAGAAAGGCAGGCAGGCGGACAGGCATTTATGTACCAACAATAGACATATAACAATATATATAAATATATAAGTAAGTAGATGTACATCGGGTTGGTCGGAATGGCGGTATGTACCTGAATAAGCGCATGTGTGACTAATCACTGCCAAATTCACAGCACCACAGACTTTGTGCTGTGCTTTTCTTTGTGTGCTTTTTGATGATGTATCTGTTCATTGTTCGTCCATTGGCTTGTTTGCCTGCCTGGCTGACTGTTTGTATGTCTGCCTATCGAACGATTGGTGTCTGACTAAAGCTTCCATTGAATGCAAGCAAAATACCATCTATGAAAAGCGAACAAAGAAAGAAATAAAGAAACTCAAATGTGTGGCTGGTTGGCGTGGAGTGGTGCAGTGGAGTGGAGTGCATGGGAGGATATTGTGTTGTGACCTTAAAGTTAAACATTTCTTTTGTTCATCATCAAATTCACAATTGGTTCTTTACATACCAACCAAAAAAAAAAAACCAAAACCTACATACATTCATACAAACGATAAATAATAATCCTTTGAAGGAAAAAAGGAAACGAGATACAGGGAGATAGAGAGAGATTTTAAACTACACACCAAACAATGATAATTACACAATGCTACATGAAAACTACGAAAATAATTCCAAAGTCAGCCACGTTTCACAAAGTGGTAATGACCGCAAGTTTGCATTGGAGTATTTAAATATTTAAATTAAATAAAGACTGGATCACTGCACACATTTTATAACCTCACTTTTTGGAGAGTACATTGTGTGTAAATCCAAGTCCATACCAGAACATTGTGTCTTTGGCTCAAATCATGTAGCACTGTGTAATAGTCACAGTAAAGTCTTAATCATAGTTAGGTATAACCCTTTTTCAGGGGGAGCTATTGTTTTGTGCCGGCACAAAGGGAATCCAACGTAAACAGCTTTCATCGATTTTGGGGAAAGTGCCACGCCGTTTGATGCGTTCCTCATAATCATCCAAGACATCCTGCAATGGACAAACAAAGCAAAAAATAATTGATTCAGTTTGAGTTTCCACCTCCACTTCAATCGTTTCACAATTAAAGAGTGTGAGTATTACCTGTTTCTTGAGTACAATATGCTTGCCTTTCCAGTACTTCATCATACCCAGAGCTTGCAAAGTGCTGACAATGTCATATGAATATATGGCCATTTCCTAGAATTTATAATGAATCAATGAGTTGTGTTTGTATTTAAAATTAAATGCCGCTGTTGTGGTTGATGTTGAAATTATCACTTTGTTTGTTGTTGTTGTTATCTTCTTCATCATTGTCTGCCGTTTATTTTTCTTACCTGTGACACATCCTTAATGCTAAGCGTATTTCCCGTTCGATTACATAGATACTCCAGAAGTACATCTTTCCAATAGGAACGATACGATATTAAGCCCAAATCGGAAAGCGGTTTTTCAGGTGAACCAATTTTACCCTCAACGCGGGTCAGAAGGTAACCTGTAATGATAGAAAGGTATGAACAATCAAAAATTTTGCAAAAATAAATCTCTTTTTCAAATGTTAAAATATGCCATTGTGGTCATCTTGATAGACTTTCATCAGGTCGTCAATAAAGTTTTAAAAATCCTCTTCTATAAAGACTTATGATATTGAAAGAAAAATATAAAGTCCCCGTCATTCGGAATACCTAAAGTGTCTCGGAAGCTTAGGGGGTTTTATCCGCCGAGAAAACAAAGCCCTATATGAAAACAAAGCATCAAATTATAGATAGAAAAATTACACTTTTGAAAACTTTATAGATACCAAGCAACAGCTCTGATTGGCTTTAACATGGCGAAGCCCAGGCTTATCTTGGTCTCACTTTCATCTTAATTGTGGACACTGACCTCCACGCGTCTCACTTTCATCTTAATTGTGAACACTGACCTCCACGCGGTGTCACCTAAGGTAGCTACTTTCATCATCCGTTCAAAAAGTGAGCTGATATGTGCCGCGAGTTCAGCCATAAGAACTATAAAACCAATGAGCGGAGCAGTATAGTCGGACGGGGCCGACCATATGATACCCTACACAACTTCCACGAAAATATAACTTTCTGTGGTTCTATATTCTGAGCTTGGGCAACATTTCGTGATATTTGCACCCTCTTGACCGACTAGAGGTCATCAGATATTAGTAATATTCAGTACAACCCTTCTAATTACTTGTCCAGATAACATTCACTTTGGGTTGTGTTGTGATATTCGTTTCATTCATCCCAAAATTTGTATCTCATCATCACCGAAAATTATAGGTGTTGTCCTTGACCATAACTGGAACCTCAAGGAAAATTTCAAAGCGATCAGCGCTATATTTCCGCCTTCTAGTGTGGGAATGGGTTACTTAATACTATATGAATACGTAAGCACTTGTAAATATTTAAGTGTAACTCACACATCCGAGTACATACGACAATATATTTGGTATCAATCTAAAGGTCAATCACTCCTCTTGGATATACTATAAACTTCTCGGGTCTATATCCTTCAGGACTATATATATATGCCATTTTCAGTCAGGGTCCATTTGGCCCGCTAAATATTGACCGATCTTTATCAAAACAGGCATGCTTTTTCTTTGGCCCGATGTAAAATTTCATGATGTTCGGGCAATAATTGCGGCCTCTGGAGCGACCAGAAAACCCGACAAAAATTTAGTATTTGGTCCATTTCATCCTCTAAATATTAACCAATCTTTACCAAAAACAATAGGGGTCTTCATTAGCCAGAACCCATCCTACATGCAAAATTTCGTGAAGATTGGTCCATAACTGTGGCCTGTATCGTGTTTACAAATTATAATGGACAGACGGACGGACGGAGAGACAGACACACATGTCTAGACCGACTCTGCTAGTCGAGATGTGACGATCGGTATATTTAAAGGTGGGTCTAGGACCAATATTTCGCGGCGTTACAAACTCTTGGAGCTGCACAAAGCTATAATACCCTGACAACATAGTTGTGTAGGGCATAAAAATGGGTTAGTTGCCCACATTCGGAAAACCCCTGTCACTATGAAAAAGCAGAGCGCGCCCGGAAATTTTACCAACCTCAGCATCCTGTGACGATATGTGGTAACTATAGAATAATAGGTATCCTTCCCATCGCATATAAGGTGCTATCATGTGTACAGTGTGAACCACTGAAACCAATGGTCAATGTCATTATTCGATCATACCAATGCGGTTTCAGGCCTGGCAAATCCACCACTGACCAGATTTTCACTTTGCGCTAAATCCCGAAAAAGACCCACGATAAACACATCGACACATTGCACTGTCGTATGCGGCTTTATATCCGATCAAAGGTGCTGAAAGCCATACCTCCGTTCAGCATTCCTGTAAAATTGATACGGCTATACAAGATAACTTTAACTGACAAAAGGTAAGCAGTTAAAGTCGGAAAGTACCTCTCGGAGCCCTTTAATGCCGAACGAGGCTTCAGACAAGGTGATAGTTTGTCGTGTGATATTTTTAACATCCTACTGGAAAAGGTCATACGAGAGGCAAAGGTGAACAGAAATGGCACTCTGTACATCAAACAACACATGTTGTGTAACAGCCACATGCGAGCAGTAACAGCCACCTTGAACAAATTAAGAAGGAGGCTGCCACAGTGGGACTGGCAGTAAATGGCGAGAACACCAAGCTGATGTTATCAACACCCAAGACGTGCAGTAGGCTCGGACCAACTGTGGAACTTTAGAACTACAGCTTCAAGATAGTCAACTATTTTATATACATTGGTTCCGCCATAAATAAAACTAATGACATCAGTTTTTAAATTCGGAGTGTTGGTCAACAGATGCTACTATGGTCAAAGTAAGCAATTCAGAAACAAGGCCAGCTCTTGCCAGACCAAAGTCACACTCTACAAGACGTTGATATTACCCGTGGATCACAAGAATGGGTATTTGCGCAAGCAGATGAGGCAGTTCTTACAGTGTTTTAGAAAAAAATTTCCGCTGATCGGCGTCGACGCTGAATATCGCCGTCGAATGAACCATGAGTTGTACCATCTATTCTCGGACATCGACATAGTCAGACGTATCGAGCTACAGCGACCACGTTGGTTAGGTCATGTTGTGAGAACGGATGAGGATTCCCCAGCACAAAAGGGCAAAAGGGGCAAATCAACTGATGGTTCACGCAGAAGGGTAAGGCCACGAATCCGATGAAAAGATTAAGTGGAAGACAAGATCTCGGAACAGTGTCTGGAAGACCTGCGCACAAGACCGACAAATGTTCAGTCATAAGCCAGCTAAGTAAGTAAGTACTTGTAAAAGGATATCTTAAGGACCTGTATACATTGATGTCTGTAAAACTTATTAATACAAAAATGTCGTCTTTATAGAAAAAAACCCATTATGTTTGTGTCTATTGCTCATTGGGAACACACTATGAATGGGATAAACCCCATACTGTTTTTCTTTTTTTTTTTGTCAGGGAACTATTTTTAGCCAAGAGATTAATTTTAGACTTTAATAATATTTTTATACTCTGATTAAATCAAACAATGGCGGATTCGGTGGCGGAACAAACGCAAAGCCAAAAAATGTGCATTGTTATCCATCGTCGTCGTCGCCATCGTTGTTGTTGTTTTTGTCGTAGACGCCGTCATCATCATAATCATCAGCACCGGTATTGTTGTTATTATTGCTAAAGTAGAAGAAGAGAACAAAAAAATTGTTCACTTGTCTAGACAGTAACAACAACACCATCACCACCACCGCCGTTGTAGTCGCCATTCTTCTACTATGACTTCATTGTTTTTGTTGTTGTTGAGAACTGAGAAACGGCAGAAAGTATGAGAAGAAATGAAATAAACTGCAAATGACCTCTTCTTTTGGCAGAACACACACTGACACTCTTACAACATAATGGTAAAAAGTGAGCGAACAACAGCAAAAACAACAAAACTCTTTGACTGCATGCCACTGCTACTATCTTTCGTTCTTGTATTCAGTTTAGTCAGTCGGCCGGTCGGTCGGTTGGTGATGGTTGATGATTACTCATTCTGACTGTGTCTTTAACTTGTCGACTCAAATTGGTCCTCTCTATTAGCATTGGATTTAATGAGATATTGAATGGCTTTATAATAGTATCGTCGAGAGGTTATCTTCACGACGACTTTTAGACCAACAAAGAATCTCCTTACGGCTTGCCTAGAAATACTACCGAATATCGTTCTGATTATGTCGATTCTGGTTGTTTATAAGACTCTATTCAAGCTCGTTTATCAAAAAAGTCTTGTGCTCGCCTATGAAAAAAGATTAGTATTTGAAAGATTCTCGAGATCATCTGCAGAAGATTCTTTTGAGCTCATCTCTTAAAAAGACTCCCTTTATCTCGTTTGTGAAAAAATATCAGTTGCTGTAAGGAAAACTCTCTTCAGATCTGGTCTATGAAAGAGACACCCTTTAAATAGCTTCTATAAATTTTATATGAGACATGTGTTCCGATCGCCCTCCATCCCATCGATTGTGCCTAGAATATATAGGTTCATTGCTCCTGGAATCTCTTGATTTCGCACAAGAAATCATTCCCAGCCACAAATATACCTTATACGGTTACCACGGTCCACATCATCACTGATATCTGTGACTAAGCCTACGACAACAATAAAAAAATAATACTAATTTTAACAACAACAACGACATCTTCAATAATAAGAAGAACCAAGTTTAACTTCAGTCCATTCAACCCTATAAACGAGGAGTAACAACTTTCAGTTGTTTCTCTTGTTCTAGACGACGGTGAGAGCAAACAACTGCCGGGCTTTGCCCGGTGCCAGACGTCCTCTCACACACACACATATTGTGCCGTTGCCGTTCGGGGCCATCGCTCAATGCAGGCAGTCTACGAGTACAACTTTCACATTATGTGCTACAATGTTTAAAGTAGCCAGCCAGCCAGACAGTCAACCATCCATCTATTCAGTCAACCATTGCAACAGAGACCCACAGTCAACCTAAACAACAACAAGCTAACCAAAATGTGGATGGACTTACGGGGAACTCCATTGACTGTCGCCGCCGTCATCATTGCTATGCAGGTTGCCGGCAAATGATTTCCTTTCGAAGGGTTGTTAAGTTCGTTTTCGAGCCGATTAATTTTCGTATGTTTATTCTCACGCGTTTGTACTCTCTCTCTCTCTCTCTGCGTTTGGCTGACCTCCACCGCCCATTCAGCCAATAATGCCCGTCGTCATTTAAAAGCGCCAGTAGCCGCCGCTGTCGCCGGCATATAACAGCTTATGATTTTATTTGTTTATTGCTATAAAATTCGATGGCGTCTAAAATTCTACAGAACCACCTCGGAGCTCATTTCATTTTCAGCAAATTACTGTTACAAGCGCCCATCCAAGGGGTTGAATGAAATTTGTAAAACGTAGACAGTGAAATTGTGGGCGCTTTACGTTGCCCACCTTTACCTTTTTGGTTAGGGCTAAAATCTA